AGAGAACAAGAGGGGATCAGAGCGGTGGGTGGGAGGGGATGGGAGCAGTGACACAAACTGTGACTGCCCGCAGAGCTTTGTGTCTCGTTGAGGAGTGCCCTGCCTGCGCCGAGCGCTGCAGCCTGCTGTCCCAGCTGTGCTGATTGGGAACGTGCTGAGTTACACGCATTTCCGAGAAGAAAAAGCCCCAAAGTGTGGGTATCTGTGTGTCAGACACAAGATGCATCCAGACAACAGAGGCTCAAAAGATTAACGGACCTAATCCTACCTCTGTGCATCGGCACACAGCTGATGACAGACACACACCTCCATAGGGATGGCTGGGCACACAAAGGGCTCCCACCTGCACAGACCCGAGTCCTCCTCCCAAAGCACGCGGCAGGAACTCACCTGGAGGACCAGACCGGCCCTGCCTGCTTCTTGGGCTTGGCGATCTGCTTCTGGTACTCCATCCAGCCGCTCACCAGCTCGTGGAGGATCATCACGTAGAGAAGGAAAATGAGAATCCTGGGATCCATTCGCGGCACTTCGGGATCTGCCTCATTGGGTACAGGTGGCATTTGCTCCTAGGGCAAATTTGCTCCGAGGGCAGCTCGGCCGGGGGGCTCTCGGGGACAGGAGGAGGAGGATGCAGGGAAGGGTGGCTGCTGGGGAGCGGCTCGCAGCCGGGCTTTGTGCAGAGCCGATCAATGCTGTAAGAGCCTCCCTTGGGAACGAGCGGCCGCTGCCCTGCGCCAAGCAGCATCAACGCGGCCGCAGAGGCTCCGGAGGGCTCCGTTAGCGGAGCGGCTCACATCTCCATCCCTTCTGTCTCCCTCGTGCTTTGTCTGCATCCCCGCGCAGCTCCCTGCGCTTCTATCTGGGAGCAGCGCGGCGGCAGCTCCCGGTGGTTGGCGGCGGGAGCGCTGGATGCCGTGCTGACAGCCGGAGCCTGCGAGGAACGCAGCGAAGCTGTTGGTGACGAGGGAACCTCCGAGCTTCCTCCCGGCATCTCAGGTCTGCAACCAGCCGATGTTGATTTGCAGCATAGCTGAGTGCTCTGCAGCTGAGAAATCTTTTCTCCTGCTCTTTGCACTCTTGTGTCATTCTCCTTGCTGTAGCCCTTACTTAAATCCTCACTGCTGTTATCCCACATTTAAGCTCTCAGGGGGTTCCCAGCAGTCAGGAAGACTCCAGTGCTGCACTGGCACTGCTGCCCAGAGCTGTGGGTGCCCGTCCACGGAGGTGCCCAAGGCCACGGATGGACCCTAGGCATCTCGAGCTGGAGGCAGCCCATGGCGGGGGGGCTGGGGGCTGTGAGGGCCCTTCCAACCCAAACCACCACCTGAGAGGCTGCCCCACAGCACAGCCCCTCTCCCAGCCCCTTGGCCCCGTTCTGCTCAGCAGCACAGGACTCTGCTCAGTAGAGGTGGATGCAGCACCAGAACCTCTCCTTTCCTGCCTGCAGGACCCCATGCAGTACTCCTCCAGTAGGACAAAAGCATGGTCCGCTCTTGTTCAGACAGCTGTATACATGCAGAGGGCAGAACAAACAAAACTCAACCCCTGTGGGAGTCCCCAGGAGGTCAGGGTGGCTGTTGGACACCCGGCTCACTGTGATGCTTCAAAGAGAAGCACAGCAGCTGCATCCCTCCCAGCCTCCCCAGGAGCCCATCAGCAGGATGTGAATCCACTGCTTGTGTTACCTGCAGTCTTGAGGTTGTATCACAGAATTACTTAAGTTGGGAGGGACCTTAAAGGCCATCAGGTCCCACTCCCTGCAGTGCACAGGGACACCCACAGCTCCAGCAGGGCTCAGAGCCCCAACAGCCTGACCTTGGCTGTCTGCAGGGATGGGGCACCACCAGCTCTCTGTGCAACCTGTGCAGTGCCTCACTGCCCTTACTGCAAACAACTTCTCCCTTCTATCCAACCTGAATCTCCCTTCTTGTAGTTGAAAGCCATTTCCCCTTGTGCTATCAGGTAGACTTCTGTCCCCTTCCTTCTTAAAGCCCCTTAGATATTGAAAGGAAGAAACTCTTGCCCTTGGCTATGCAGCTGCAGCCATGTGCACAGAAGCCGGGGATGCAGGCAGCTCCGGCTGCACAAAGACAAATGCAGGTAGGGATGCTGATCACGCTGTGTCTGCGTAGTAAAGGAGCCCAACGGCACAGCCACAGCCCAAAGCATCGCGTGGCTTTCCCTCTGCTAACTAATGTTTCATTAATGAGTTCAGAAGTGCTGAGTAACTCCGGATTCGGAGCAGCAGAACTCACAGATGGAGTGAGAGAATGAATGAAAAAGGGGAATGTTGGGGCTCTGCGTTAAAGCGGAGCTGCGTTCCCATGGCAACAGCGGCAGTTGCCAGGAGGCAGGAGATGGTCGGATGGCACCAGTCACACGGGAGGGCTTTTAGTCTAAAGACAGCGCCGATGTGTCCTACACACACAGCTCTTAATGAGTAAGGGCAGCGTGACTCCTTTGTTCCTAGGAGCCGCACTTTGCACGGAATCAGAGAGAAATTACATGGCAAGGCAGGCAGAGTAACACGTAGCAGCTTAATCCTGCTTTTGTGCCAGGGGCTCCAACTTATGAATACAAAATCATTAAAAAATAATCTTCTTGTTGGTGTACATTACAGCTGGATTGATTGCTGCTCCTCCTAAAAGCCCAGCAGCCAAAGAATTAACCACCCTGCCTCTGCCCTTTGCCATCCTCAGCATCCATGCAAACACTGCCTACATCTGCAATGCCTCTTAAGTCTTTAAGCAGTCACCTGAGCCCTATCACACAATTCCAGCCTTAAGAACGTCACCAATCCACGCTTAATGACACGTAAGGTAGAAAGCCAACCAGCCCTGAGCTACTGCCAGGGCTGGCAGCTCATATTGTGGTAACTGGTTTCCAAACAGTGACTACTCGCAAGCTGGGAGCTCTTTCACTAATGATTAAAAAAATAATAATAAGAAGAAAAATACTTGCTATGAGCAGCCTGATCAACTCTACTGAAAGCTGGGGTTGCTCTTGTTTCATTTCTGTACACGTTTCTTTGGAACATTTTCCTCTGCTCTGCTTCACCCCACTGTGAGGAGCAGGATGCCAGTGTTTGCTACGGAGCACGCGTAGGATGAGGTGTGAATTCTTGCTGCTAAATACATGGAGAGGGAAGCACCGTGCCTGACTGATGCGTGTTGGTGTCAATCTGGGTTGGCTTTATTTGGGAACCTCCTGCAGCCCTGGGGAAGCAGAAAGATCCCATTTCAGATCCTACCAACGAGCCCTGAGCTGTTGGTCATGGAGCAGGCAGCAGTGCGCTGGGAGCTCCAAAGAGATGCAGTGAATATCAGCTGGGCAGCTGCACGCAGTGACAGCCAGCAGCATCAGACAGACGTGCAGTGAAGTGTGCATGCATGACTGTCAGGTAACACAGACACCTGTGTGCTGAAACATCCCTACCTGCAGGCTGCCGCTGCCATTTGCACTGCTCTGCAGTGTTCTAACGAAGAGCCAGCACTCCTCAGATGCATCTTCTCTCTCTATCCCTGCTGCTTTCTGACAACTGTTTGTACAGAAATGACAAGTAGGTCAAATCTGGATAAAGGCTGCATGAAAGAACTGGCACAGCAGAAGTTCCCCAAGGCTGAGCTGAGATCTGCTTTGCAAAAGCAGGATGGCAATAAGGCCGGTCTCCTTCATCCAAGGCACTCAGTCCAATGGTTGGGCTGGAAGAAAATCCTGGATACCTGAACCACCTGCACGTCTCAACCTGGGTTAGGGCAAAGCATTTGGCACAGTCCCACAGAACATCCACAGCTCCAAACGGGAGAGACAGAGATGTGATGGATGGACTGCTTGGCGGGCGGGGATTTGGATGGACTGCTGCACTGGGAGAGTTGTGGTCAACGACGATTCAGGTCTCTACAGTGCAGGGAGGTGGGGGAGGCACTGTCCCTGAAGTGCTCAGGAACTGTGGAAGCTGGGATGTGGTCAGTGGGCAGCACTGGTGGTAGGTGGACAGGCTGAATATTTGGAGGTCTTTGGAGGTCTTTTCCAAACTCAATGCTTCTATGACTCTCAAGAGATGTTTTTAAGAAAGCTGGGAGGTGTCACTTACTTATTCATATTCATCTCAGCCCCAAGGGCATGTTGTAACACCAAGGATCGCCTTCATCCAAGCTTCTTGGAAGCACCATCACCCCATTCTTCCACTTGGAAGCTGCCACAGCTGACTGACCTGGCAAACCCACTCTTCCTCAAGTTGACAGAGCTCACAGAACCTCTAAGGGACACCAGAGAAAAGCAGCAATAATTGTTTTGGAACCATAAATCAGGGTTAACCTGCATATCTGCCTGGTCACAACAATTGGCTTTTTGGAAGGGACTCCTAGGAGGACACCAGGTGCTTCCTGCACCTCCACACACCGCAGCCAAAGCCCACGAGCACAGCAGCGCCAGGTGAGCAGGAACACAGATCCCTTCTCTCCCCCTTGGCCTCTCCTTAAGGAAGCTGCCTGTAAGAAGTCCTTACTGATTACCCGATTGCTCACTAGAGATTAAGCAGAGAACAGTGCTGGTAACAAATCAGGCCGTGACCTACTGGATGGGATGCTTTGTTGTTGCTGCGATGACATCATTTCACAAGTCCATGATGACTCTGACCCAGTGACCCCAGCACCCTGACTGAGGCTTCAAGTGCATTTTAGGGGAATAAACGTCACCAACTCCTTCCTCTCACACACCTGCAGTGCTTCCTTCCTAAGCTCAGAGGACATCCAACAGAGCTGGAACGGAGGGCGGGGGGGAGAAACACGACTAGAAGCAGGGCCAGGAGAACACAACTCAGGCAAAAGGGGTTTCGGAGTTAAAATGAGCACCACCCCGTTTGTCAGCATCTTCCACAGCCTTCACAAAGCACAAACAGATGCTCAGAGACAGATTTCTTCTCAAGATTTTTAATTGCTCCTACCTATACATGCGCTTGAAAAAACGATAATAAAAACCTTGTGTTCTGAGTCATCAGATTGCTTTGTATGCTAATGACTCATCGCCAGGATTTATTAACATTTCACCACTTGCAAGTTCTGCCAACCCTGATCAGCCAACAGAACTTTGGTACAGCAAATGGATGCTAAAGGAAAGAAAAACAAAATACAGAGCTCCAAAATAACCATCTTTTGAGCTCTGGACTTCTTTTCTATGACAACATGGGAACCAGAAACAGCTCTGTTTGACTCGAGGACAGATACAAGAATCTTTCTTGTTCCCTTGCCACAGAACTGACATCAACGGGACCTGGAGAAGAAGGGGAAGACACCGATGCTCACTTCTGGGGTGCTGCTCAATGCAAGGACTGCAGAGGATGCCCTAGAAGGGCTCAGATGGCAGCAAACACGGAGCTGAAACCCTGCCTGAGGAGTCCTCAGCACAGTGACCTGCCTTGGGATGGAGCTGCCCTCCATTCCTGCTTTACACCCCCCTGGAGCTATCAATATTGCAAGAAGCCATCCACATCACCCTGTCACACAGACCTCTCCCTGCCTCTGGGAGATCCCCAGCACAGCTACAGGCACAGCTCTGCCCCACACAGCCCAGTGCTGCCCTTCGGCCAAGGCACAACGCAGGGTGAGAGGTAAGTTACATTTAGTGCACTCAAGTGCTGTCTGTGTACCCTGGAGTCTTCACCTCTCCACAACAGGTGACTGGGAAGCCCAAACCATCCAGCAGCATCTTGGAGAGGAATAACTCCAGTTTCTGCCTCCTGGCATCTGCTGCAGACTTTCTGTCACCCAGCTAAATGCCCGGCTCCTTCCAGCCATCTGCACCACAACCCACCACTCCCGACCACTTTTCAAAGTGCCTGCAGCACTGAGGCAGAACGGAGTGTTCTGCCAGCAAGCAGAGGCTTTCAGCATTCACACACACGAAGATGCACAGCTTGAACTGCTGGGTCCCCATCAATTTTTATCCCTGGAGCCTAACAGGGCCCACCCTTACAATGGTCCCAGCTGTGAGTTCTGTGGTATGATGTGAGAAATATTGCCATTGGGTTGGAAAGCCAAAGTTGGCAGTCAGTGCCCTCTAGGAGGTCGGTTTCACAATTCTTTACCACCAGCTAAGGTTTAATTCAGAAGTGCAGGATGTAACTGCTGTAACTCCGGCACTGAAGGCTGTCAGAATACTGCCCTCTTTTTGAACAATAAGCTTCCTTTTATGGGAGGTAAATGATACAATGGAATTGCTCCCATCTGGATTTTTTGTAGAGTTCTATTGAAGGCACTGGTGGACATTCACCATCCCTCATCAAGGTGCCAGGCTTTCAATGCCTGAATTGGAAGGATCTCCATGGAAATTCAGAGCTTTCATAGTAAGGACACAGTGGAATATCTACTGCAACACCTAGTAAAATGCTCCCGTTCTTTCAGAGCACTTTCCAGCCTAGAGGAACTTTGGTAGGTGTTGCCCAGGCACTGGAACAGCATCAGCAAGAACCACATTTTCTTCCTGCCTGCGAGGTCCTCAAGCTAGTGCTGGTCAGGGAAGGGTTTGTGCCAAGCACAGGGCATGGCCTTCTCCAGAAAGACGTTATCAGGCAGATATCAGGCAGAGGTGTTACCCAGCCATGGGGAGATCCAGAGAAGCAGGACACCAAAAGGAGAGGAAGCAAAGGAAGGGCATGTGCAGAAGCAGCAGTGCAGGTCCAGCCCAACAGCAGCGTGCCCAGGTGCTGCAGGTACAGCAGAGGAGGTAGTGAAGAACACAGTATGTAAACCCAACAGGTGCTTCCCTGTGGTCCCATGGCTGTCAAAATCATTAAGATCAGAAAATACAATCATTTTAAGTTTTAAATGCTTGCAAGAGGAAATTCCGTGATTTGTATTTATCATTCATTAGCTTTTCTTACCAGTATCACTTCAGTGCATTTTCATAGCTGCTCTCTGATGTGGTACTGGTCAGGAATGTGCCCGATTCCTTCCTGCAGGAACTGCTGTGCCACACCAGCCACCTGCTGGGATGGGGCAGAGGAACATTTCCTTGTAAGCCCAGTGCCTGGCTCCTTACTTTGGCCTCACACAGGACTTGAAGGGTGAGTGAGGTTCAGGACAGTGTGAGACTTCATTTCTGCAAGAACAGGCCAGACATGCACTGTGCAAACAGGCCAACTTTTTCTAACTCAAGCATCTTCAAAGTGAAACCCATGGCAGGTTTTCTTTATGCTGTTGTATAGAGAGGTGACCAGGAATCACCTAAAAACAGTTCTGACAAAACAGCAAGACTCACAACAACTGGTGTTTATCCAGGGGGATCTTCATGTTCTTTCTGTCCAAGCAGATTTGTTCAGCCTCTTTTACCTCAGTCCACAAAGAGATTTCCTGCATCAAATCATCGTGTCAGGTGGAATCTGGGTGATGTGAAATGATGCTGTGCCATGCTTTTGGTGTCAGGTCCTTCAGAAGTAAATTATACCATTATAAACATTTTTTTTTCCACTAATTCTGCATAACCCAGACCTGATTCCTCTGCTAGCATTGGCCTCAGTAACCAAATTTTGGAGCTACTCCTGTCAACTACAACACTGCAGTTCCAGTGCTCTGTCTATCTGCTAATGTACCTCAATCCAAACGAGTTGCTTCAAAGCTCAACATGAACTTTCAGTTAAATGTTAACCATCCAAAAAGCCTGGAGAACCTCTCAGGGCTATTAGTTACCATGATCTCTCCGGAAAAACACACAGAGAGGACCAGATTGCTCAAGCTAATTAGAATTCATTGTAAAAAATTCCTCCCCGAGTCACACAGCAGGCTTGGTGAGAATACGCTATTTTTCCATACCACAGGTATCACATCCCCGCCGTAAAGACAAACCGTAACGCGAGTGTCAGCACAGGGCAGGCAGCCCCAGCGCCCCGCTGCACGCCAGCTGGGAGCATTTCAGGCAGCAGCGCTGGAGGCGGGCGCTCAGTGGTGCACTGCCCCCTAGCGAGCAAAGCCTGCACTGCACGCCATTGCGCCGCGCCTCGTTACCAAGGGCTGCACGTGGGGCATTAAGAAAAGGCAAAGAGGAAAAGAATACGTAATTGTTTCACACCGTTCGGTTGTACCTCAGCTGGCAGTTACAGCGCGGGGCAGTGCGAGCTGACACAAAAGCAGCAGTCTGTATAATTGCTGGGAGTCAAAGCACTCTCATCTCCATGAATGCCCACAGACTGGGATGGTCACTTCTGAAAAAAATATTTTCTGAGAGATGTTTCTGCTAATTTATCACATCTTTTGAGAAGAAAGCAAGTCAAGAGAGTGCAGAATGGCAGCCATTCCCATTCTCCCCTGCCCACTGATCTCTCAGCTGAGGCATCAACTAGCACAGGAAATCATCAGCACATGCTCCAGGACTCAATTTCTTTGTGCCACCTCTGTAGATCTTAAAGGCTGTAAAAAAATAATCCCCAGCACTGTCGACACAGGGTAAAACACAAGAGGTCTTCCCATTGAACTGCACATTGTTCAGTCAGCCTGAATTAAAACAAGTTTGTGCTGCCAGAGGGTAGCAAATCAGGCTGCAGTGTATGGGAAGACTTCAGTGACAAAGAGAACCTGCACACAAAGCTACGCACCCCGGGGCTGAGCAGAACACAGCTTGGAGGGAGTTAATAGTGAGAGGTTTCCAAGCAGTGTGGGATGCTGCTCTGTGTAAGTTACACGTCAGTTTAAATGGTTTAAAAACCAAGCTTTGCAAGAAAATACTGATTGTTACAAGCAGTTCCTGTTTCCAGCAAGTTCAGCATCAGGAGTCTGCCAGCAAGAACTGCCCAGGCTCCACAAAGGCCATGCTGAGCCCAGGAGACAAGGAGTGCAAAGGCAGCAGGGATGAGAAGGCAGCACCCCTTCCTCGCTCACAGACCCACGCTGTCTTCCCAGTTTTCCCAAAAGACACAGACAACCTCACAAATGGAGAACAAGGCACTGAGGCAATGAAGAGTACTTGCTTTCCTCACGCAGCACTTGAGATCTCGGGAGGCAGAAAGCTACACAAAGAGGGAGTTCAGCAGCTTCTCAGAGGGATTTCCATCTTTGCTCAATTATCTTTTTTTTTTTTTTTTTTTTCCCATTCAGCTTCAGGAAATGGAAAAGTCTCATGATATGGCTTGGCACCAGAAGTGCTTGAGCCCCAAGAAAATAATTAGTGCTGGGAAAATAAAAGGACAAGAAAGCGACAGCATGATCAGCACAGTTAACAGTGCCTGAAAACTCTGATAACTTTCTAAGAAGATTGGCTTGGCAGACAAGAGGAGAGCAGAGCAGTTTAGCTTGACTTCAGATGGCTCTGGACACAATTGTCTGAAGAACACATATAGCCAAATCATTTTGCTGTGCATCAGATAGCTGCATAGGAAAACTGGCAAGACTCCAGTCCCAGAGAGTTGAGATCAACAGCACAAAGTCCAACTGGCAGCCAGTTACTCCTAACATTCCTCAGGGGTCTGTAACGAGGCTAACATTGTTTAATGCCTCTATTCACAACCCAAAGACAGAACACACCCTCAGCAAATTTACACATGGTACCAAACTGTGGGAATGGCTGACACACTGGGCAGGGCTGCCGTTCAGAGGAACCCCACTGGGCTGGAGAAACTGCCTAACAGAAGCCTCAGGAAACTTAAAGGGAAATACAAAGTTCTGCCCTTAAGCAACCAGCAGAGACCCTCAGAAGTGCCTTCATAGCTGCGTTAGCCTGCGATTCAGAATCCCTCCTGCAGGCAACTTCCTGTTTACAGAGGACTGATGAGATTTTACATATATCGTATGGGCTGAGACCAACACAAAGTCACTTGTAAAGCTCACACAACTCATTCTTCTCCCAAATCCATCTTCCTGCATACTCTGCCTGATATTTACACTGAGGCAACAGTAAAAGCACAACAGGAATTAACTGCAACAGTACAGACAGCAAACACAGATAAGCCATGGAGAACAGGCTATTCTTTCAGTCACGATTTCACCCTTCCTACACCAAACCCTACCAGCATTCAGGTCTTATTTCACTGGAGCCAAGATTCATTTCAAGCTCTTTCTTTGGAAAAGGTGGGAGAGAAAGGAAAGCAGGGGACTGATTCAGCTTCTGATGTTCTTCACAAGATCACTGCTTCTTGGTCTAGTGACAGTGGTGGACGTCCCTCACTAACGCAGCACGTTTTACCATGAAGTAAACAGCTAGAAACAGAAACAGGAAACCACATCAGTGGAGCTTATCTCCTCTGACATTTGTTTGCTGAGTTTATCCTCTAAAGACCCAGAGGAGCCCACTAACAGCCAGGAAAAACCAGGTTAGCCTTGAGGAGCTCACACTATCTGCTCAGCCATGTATTAGACAGCCAGTTGTAAGTTCCTGAAATAAAGAATACAAGATGCACAGCTTAAAAATATGCCTTTTCTTTTTCAAAAAAAAAAAAATAAAAAAAAATGGTACAGTCAGTTGCAAGTAGATCTACAAGACACTCACTCAGCTACCTTTAAGAAAAGGAAACCTCTGCAATGCACTGCATACAGAGTTTTCTAACCAGCAAGAGACAGTTGGGGAAACCGCAGCGTTTCCCCAGAGAGCTTTTTGAGTGGCTATTCTTTGCTTCCACCCCGCGGGCAGCCGCTAACAAGGCAGGACAGCGCCCTCAGGCTGCTGAGCACGAGGCCCGTTTCGCTGTCTCACTCCTGCAATACAAACACAGCTCAGCGTGAGGCTGGTGTGGGCACGGTGGGCAAGGGCAGTTCCATGGAGGGAGTCTCAGTCACTTCGGCAGGACTGGGCTTGCGAAGCTCCAGTTTCTCAGTGAGCTGGTTATGAAGCTCCTTCACAGCCTCCCCACTCTGCAGAAAGAGATTTAGGGAAAGGAAAACCAGAAGAGTCAGACTTCATTCCTGCTGCTATTAACTACAGCACTAAACACGCAATTAACCTCCATGTTTTAACACAAACCAATGCAGAACGAGGAAGTTGCAAGTAATTAAGACAACTTGGAAAGCTGCTAACTGAACAAAGCACACATTCCATTAAGCAAGGTCTGGGAAAGGCAGATGCTTTCATTTGCAATTAATTTTCCATTTCTCATTACCTGTTTGGTGGGTTCCAAAGCCTTCTGGAGAGACTCTAATTTGGCAGGCGCCACTTTGTGATGCAGATGAAGCAGCAATCTCAGTACATGTCTGTGTACATTCTCCTTTCTGAAAAAAAGCAAGTTTAAAGCAGAGAAACAGTTACACACAAACACGGCCTACAGAATGAGAAAGCTACAACAATGCTCTCAGAAGAATAGCAAACAACTGAGGACTGACAGCTCTGTTATAATCCTCCAAAATACCCAGGAGTTGCTTGCGTGTTACAAAGTGCCACCCCTGCCTCGGATCTCCAGCTAATGCATCTAAATCAATCAACAGGGGTGAACTAACTGTAGCAACCACAGGGAACTGGGGCAGATTTTAAGCAGAGGCTGCAGCACAGAGCAGCAATTTCTCTCCCTCAGCTGTGCTGGATGAGCCATATGACCACACAGGAGGGTATCCTGCCCCCATCCTATGAGGAGCAAACTGCTTTTGGGGGAGCCTCCCAGAGATTACATCTGGTTTGACAGCCACCAGTTAAACCACACAGGCTTAAGAGAATTAACAAGCGGGTTTTTTTCTCCATGCAGCTTTTACAGCAAAGAGCTGCAGTTAGTGCTTCATATCCACAGCCACTGCAAAGCATCAAGGATGCTATCTTTTGTAACTCTAACTTGAGAATAACAAATTATGGTTCAGGTAATCAACACCAACATGAAACATTTAGCAACTCTGCTGTTAAGAACTTTATCACAGTATATACCTCTCCTAAAAGAAAAAGCAGAAGACTAATGATTTCAGCTGAAACGTTAAACAACAGTCCAAAGAAGCACAGCCTCCCTCAGTTCTCTTACAAACTCACTGCCTCTGAGGAAAATCAGATTTACCTTGAGCATGCAGTGAGAAAGAAGCCATCGAAGAGACCGGTGCAGAACTCTTCAACTGCAAATTCATCACCCAGCAGTGTGAGGTTACCAGTGAGCAGATGCAGAAATATATCACTGAAGGCCAAGTCACTGAACGTCTCAACTGCACAACATATAAAGGCAGAGACTGAGACTCACAAATCTGTGCCAAACCTGGATTGCACAGCAGAGATTCCTGCTGAAATCTCCGTGAAAACTTTTCCTTACTGGCTTTTACAACAGGTAGCCCAGGCAGGTGGCTGTGAACTTCTACCTGAGGAGCAGAGAGCTGAGAAAAATATGAAGAAAACCCACGTCTCCCATCAAGATGGAGTCACACAGAGCAGTCTGCTGCTGTCAGAATCATGGGGACCCCTGCTATACTTTTCCACAGCTCTGTGCTCACGGCCACAACCACCTCCCTGCACTCCTCAGACCCCACAGGGAACAGATGCAAACTGCTTACCAGTGAAAGTCACCCATCTAAGTGAGCTGCCCATTAAGCAAAGGGCCCAAAGAACTGTTGGGGTAACAGGGGGAGTGGGGAATCCACCCCACTGCTGGGAGCTGCACTTCCTAAGCGTGCTGCAGAACTTTCACACAACTTAACCCAGAGAGGTCAGTTCAGAAGGCAAACCCAGGGAGGAACTTAGGGCTGTGTTTGGTCTTGTTTTGTTCCACATTTTTTCAACACACAAACCCAAGTCTCAAAAAATATCTGGCCACATGCAATTACTGTGAGCAGCTGCAGAATTAAGTCACCTACACTTTTATCTTTCAGTCTCATTCGTAAAAGCTCTCAGCTAATCCCATTGCTAATACAGCCTTTGATGTCTACTGACCTTCAGTCACTACCCCTAAGTTCTCAGATCAGCAGAAAAAATATCCTAATTGCAGACAAAAAACAAACATGTAATCCTGCAGGGCTTAACAATTAAGTGACAGGAGGAGGCAAAAGTAAATATATGCATTTGTCTCTGAAATCAGTTTCATTTCAGGCTGTTACTTGACCCCTGGGTCTCCAAGACAAGGGAAGCAGCTGAAGAACAGAAGCCAAGACAAAAACTCACCTAGTGCTGGCAGGAGCCTGAGGAAAGCATTCTTGTTTCTCTGTTTTGTTATGTGAAGGATATAGTACAGCCCAATCTCACAAGCTATTCTGTTCTCCTGCAAGAATCTGTTAAAGAAGGAGCAAAGCTTTTTAATCAATAAAAATAAATCTTTTTTTTTTTTTTCTTAGAAGAGATTGAAACAGTGTTGGATAGGAATCAAGCAGTTACAGCAATGGTTAACCTCAGAGCCACAGGAAAGCAGCTACTCAGATAACGAGCATCACCAAATCCGCTGTCAGAGCCAAGGAAAATTTTACCATTCAGCAAGCATTGCATTATCTCACCATTATACAGTTAGATCTGGTTGTGAACATTTTAAATAGCATTAATGGTAAGTGATAATTTTAATAAGGGTTTTAAAAAAAGCTCGAGTAATTTACAGTGATAGAAAGCACAGCAGTGTTTTGTTGTATGGATTCCTAGAGGTCACACATCAGCTCTGTCACAGAGCAAACATAAATCCAACCAGTGGGATTCAGTACTCCAGATCATGGCATACAGACAAGAACTGTGCTGGAAATTAGTGCAAGATCTGAATATGAGAGAACACAAAGAGGATTTTTAATTATCTCTTTGAAGCCCCTGGAGTGATAAGTTATCAACAGAGAGTGTCTGTGTGACAGAGATGTAAAATAAGATTCACAATAGCACTCCCCAGACAGCATGGGCACTTATCCAGCAGCACTCAGATGAAATGGTATCACTTCAGCATGCATCACGCACTGCCTGGAGAGTCACAGACTCAGCACTATTTGAAAACAGTGCTACAAAGTACTTTCATATTCACTCTGATGTAAAATGGTCAAAGCAAGATACATACTTTATGTAGATACATTTCATTTGAGGAATCATGGTGGAAACCCATTTCACTAAAAGTGAAGTGCAGGTTTGATTAACCAGCACTAAATCTTACTGCCCAAAAAGTCTTTACCACATACAGTATTTTCTTCTGTCAGTGTTGATTGGTTTCTTCATATTTTGCTTTAGTAACAAGACCAGTGTGTAAAAAGTAGCTGGGAACACAGATTACATACTTGGTGAAAGCCTCAGGAATGGTGCTGGGGTAGGGAATCGGCCCCTTTTCCTCCGAGGGCAGCTTCTGATCTACATTGAACGTGTGATCATCCACCACAAAGGACATCAGCATAGGCAAGAACTTTGTAATCAATTCGGCTTCCTTAGAGGGATGGAAGGAGAGAGGAAAAAGGAGAATGTTTTCATCAATCAGTTCACACCACCTCATAATTCCACAGCACCGTAACAAATACTGAGGCAATGCTATCAGCTCCACCCTGCGCTTCTGCAAACAGGCCTTCAGACACCCAGGTCCCTGAAACTTCCACACGATCCAGTGGAAATGAGGACAACTGTATTTCACCCAGCCCTGCTCAAAAGCTTTCTTTGGACAATGATGTAGCACCTCCTCCAACAGACGTTGGAGCAAGCACTGCTCTGCACATTGAGAATGGTACCATTGCTTTTAACAGCACTTACAAATCATATTCCTTATTCCCTAAACTGACAGAGATCAGTGCATAACTAGAGTAGCAAGACAAAGTATTTATGTGCATCTTCTCT